TCTCTTTTAAATTCGCACGTTGAGCAAGCAACAAGTTTCTTGGCAGATTTTACCAGCCGTCCTCTTGGCAACGTTCATCCACCTTTTTGTGGGATTTTGAAGACGCTGGGATTTCAAGTGGTTGCTGGCTTAAATTGGTTTTGGGGTGAAAGCTTTGGATTTGGTCGTACCCGTATTTGTAAGCCAACCACACAGAATTTTCTGGAAACGAAGTCTACGCCATTTTGTTGTTTTGTCGTGTGAAGCACTAGAGCACATTTGTTCAACTAGCCCAAATTGTAACCAGGTAATTTTAAACGTTTTTACCATTCTCAAATATACGTTTTCGTTATCAATATTTAGATTAGCTTATCAGTAATTTTTGTAAATATTTGGGATTCTATAAAAAAGGGGCAATTTGACCTCCACGAGGCCATGTTCAGACTCATTAATCGTTTAAGGGGCATTAATGGGCTTATTAATTTAGGGGTTTTTTGTTTAAGATAACCTACATGTTTCAGGGGGTTTGCTTATTTAATTCCAATCATTTATATACCATTTGAGGGTTGGGATTTTTCGTTTTTTTATAAGTATGAAGGAGTTCTAAGACTTTTGTACTCTTTCAGGGTTTTTAGGGTTTTCTGGATTGGATTTTAGTTTGGGTTCTACCTTTACCTTTGGGTTTTCTCTTTGACGGTTTGCTGGTCTGGAGGCTGAGGTGTCAAGAGTGCCTACAGCACTGAATTGAAACCTAAAATCACATTTTTAAGAGGGAAGTCTATGGAAGCTTATGGGTCTGTTATCAGGGCTGTGATGCTGTCAGGAGGCAGTTATGTAAATGGGTGTCTAAACTGCAGAGAGGACTACAAGGGGTGATGTACCCGTAAATTTATTAACATTTCTCAATTACTATTTTTAATTATTATTAATGGTATTTGCTTGTATTTACTTGGCATATTTCCAAGGTTGTTTTACTGCCCTAATTATTACAACAATGGGTGTGCAGTACCAATGATTTTTAATGTACTATATTTAAGGTGACATTTTGTACAAACCCGCCCCGGTATACCATGGTATAAGCGTGCACAGATTTTAATTATTATTATTAACATCTTTAATAACTATTTGTTCTCTTTTACTCTCATTGAACTAAGGTAGTCAAACATTTATTTTATTGGTAAATCTTAAATTTATGGCAGTCTCTTTTATAAGGCCACATTTGTCCTTGCTACATTTTGGTAATTTTGACATTTACTATTAATAATAATATATATTGTGGTATTTTACATATTGCCTCCTATTGGCCTTTTGGAATGTCTCTACAGGTTTGAACATATACCCCCCATTTTATTAAATAGATTTTTAATCATTGTTTTTAGATTTGACTCTTATTTTATCCCTACTGACATCAACCAAACCAAGGTAAAATTGTTTTATTTTAAAGGATAGGTGCATCGGGTGGGTACATTTTTATAGGAATTTTGGAGATCAGGGACTTTCTGGTTTAAGTCCGCGGATTCTATTTTATAAACCAGTGGCGCCCTATTAAGCTAACTTTTAATATTGAACCTACTCCCACACCACTGAGTAGCCGCGAGCACTTTGTTGCGCTGGCCGCATTCCTTAAGAGTGTCTTACGGTACCTAGGCCTATTGTGGTTTATTAATTCAGATTTAGTATTCAAACAGTTTAAAGGTAATTTTATGCGCAACACAGTGACCATTCAAGACCCAAAGGATGAACAAACGTCAAAAGAAGATGGTAGCTTCAAGAATCTTATAAGTAAGTTCACGGAAAAGATGAAGAAACTAGTACTAGAAATTAGACAAATGGAAAACGACTCCAAACAAACAGCAACACCAAGAAACCGAGTAAAATGTTACCGGTGTCAAAGGCTTGGACACATGCAATGGGATTGTAGACTAAGGATGACCTCTCCATCTAGGGATCGTTTCCAAAGCTTTTGGAGGTCCAGAGACGCTAGTCCTAAACATCGACCTGGAAACCCGCATGAGAAGAACACTAGTCCAGCTGTGAGAAGAACGGGCCTGATTGTTGATTACAAGTGGTCTACGAAACAAATGAGAGAAGATCAGGAGGCAGACCAGGACATCGGGCAAATTCTACATCTTAAAGAAAATGATGAATGTAGGCCAGAATGGAGGGACGTGTCAAACAAGAGCTTGATTTACAAGGCGTTGTGGGCCCAGTGGAACTCTCTGGCCGTAGAAAATAGTTTGCTCAAAAGAGTTTGGGAAAGTGCCGATGGGAAATCCACTAAGAGCCAACTGGTTATCCCAAAAGACCGAGTGAAAGATGTATTAAAAGAAATACACGACGGAACTTCAGGGGCACATTTCGGCGTTAACAAGACTTTTGATAAAATTCGGGAACGTTTTTACTGGGTTCACTACGATGAAGACGTTAAAAGCTGGTGCCGGAAATCCGACATCTGTGCTACCAGTAAAGGCCCTAAACTAAGATCTCGGGGGCCCATGAAACAGTACAACGTCGGTCTTCCGTTTGAAAGAATAGCGATAGATGTAGCCGGACCGTTCCCAGAGTCAGAGCGTGGTAACAAATACATCTTAGTTATCATGCATTACTTTAGTAAATGGCCAGAAGTTTTTGCTATTCCCAATCAAGAAGCCATCACTGTGGCCCAGGTGCTAGTGGACGAAGTTTTTAGTCGTCATGGTGTGCCACTAGAGTTACATTCAGACCAGGGACGAAACTTCGAATCTGCCATCTTTAAGAAAATTTGTGAGATCATGGGCATTCGTAAGACAAGGACAACACCTTTATATCCACAGTATGATGGCATGGTAGAACGATTCAATAAGACCATAGAGGAACACCTGACAAAAGTGGTCGCAAGGAACCAGCGAGATTGGGACAAGCATTTGCCTCTAATTTTAATGGCTTACAGAGCAGCTGTTCACGGGTCAACAGGTGAAAGTCCAGCCAGAATCGTTTTTGGAAGAGAACTCAGGTTACCTTGCGATCTGATGTTTGGGATACCTGAAGAAGAACGAAAAGAAATTCGAGACTATGCCGACGAAGTAAGGGCACGACTTCTGGGTATCCATGATTTTGCTTGGGAGCATATTCAACTAGCCAGTGACCGGATCAAGACTAGATACGACCTGAAAGCCAATTCAGCTGGATTTCAAGAAGGTGATTTGGTGTGGCTGTATAATCCAGCTAGAAAGAAAGGAGTATCGCCGAAATTGTCTTCAGCTTGGGAAGGACCCTACAAAATAATCAAGAGGATCAATGATTTGGTGTGTCGAGTCCAACGCAACACCAGGAGTAAGATGAAAGTTGTACATCTGGACAGGTTAACGAAATATCATGGGCGTGAAGTTGATCGGGACGATCAACCTTAAGAGGAGGGCAATGTGGCGTGGCGTTCGCCAGGCTGTCAAGAATCTCAGTTCGGCTAGCGAATTATTCTACTTTAATCTGGAAAATAAGATTATAGTGTTTATTCTAGATTTTACAGGAATAGATTAAGGGATATATAAGAAGGCCAACATTGGTTTGTAAGTTAGTTAAAGTTTGACTGTGAAACGATTTAAATAGTGATTATTGCGAGTTTAATTGTTGAGTTTGTTATTAAAGTAATTAGTGTCAGAGTGTATTGTTAAGTGGAATAAATTATTGCTGTGTTAATTGGACTTTGATTTTTGGAATAAACGAAACGAACAACGAACCCAAGATTTCTGTCAGGCAACCCAAAGCCGTGACAATCTTTTGTTCTAGGTTAGCGACAGATCCTTGTATGGTTTGAAATATTCGTCCAATGTCTTCTTGCCTTTCTTGTTGTCGTTTGACCTCTTCTTCTTGTGATTCTTTTTGTCGTTTTGGTTCTTCTTGTTGTCGTCTAGCTTCTTCTTCTTGTTTTTCCCTTTGCCGTTTAGCCTCTTCTTGTTTTCGTCTAGCTTCTTCTTCTTGTCGTTTAGCTTCTTCTTCTTGTTTTTCTTTTTGTCGCCTAGCCTCTTCGTCTTGTTTTTCTTGTTGTCGTTTGGTCTCTTGAAGTTCTAACATTTTGCGCAGAAGTTCTCCAATTTTTTGTTCTTCCATTTTTGCTTGTTGTCGCGTAATAGGCATACATAGAATGTTCTGGAATTTCCTCCAAACGCTCTTCAAATATCTTTCCAGGTCTTTGATTGAAGTTCCAAACACATCAGTGAAGTCACAAATTGGATAACTTGCTTTATTCTCGAATAGAATGTTCTAGAATTTTCTTGAAATGTCTTCTCTGAATGTCGACTGATATAGCAAACACGTCGGTGAAGTCAAAAATTCGATATCTGCTTTGGTTTCCAAATAGAATTTTCTAGTACTTACTTAAAAATTCACTATCACAGTCAAAATCGGGTATACAGTCACTTCTGGGGTAATTTACACAATCGGTTAAGTCTTTTTTGGTGACTGTCACTGCTTACACTAACTGTCCCAGTGTTCACTAAATATCCTTACTACTCACTAGTGTCTGCACTATTCTGCAATCGGATTTCATTTTTCCAGTCCTCAAATTATATCTCACTTCTGACACCAATGTCACGACTCTGGGGTGAGTGACAGAAATCTTGGGTCCCTTTATTCCAAAAATCAAAGTCCAATTAACACAACAATAATTTATTCCACGTTACTATAGACTCTGACACTTATTACTTCACTAATTAACTCAAACAACTTAACTCTTCACAACGTTGCAATATTCACTATCTAAATCATATCACAGCCAATCTTAAACTAGAAACTTTTAACTAATACCGGCCTTTATATATCCATTTTCCATTGTTAAATCCAGAATAAACGCGATAGTCCCCTTTCTTGAACAAGACAGTATTTTCTAGATTTTCATGTTTGAATTCTGTACACACTGGCGAAAGTGACACAATATCTATGCTACGGAGTTCAAAAAAATCTGCTTGATAACGAAAAAAACATTTTTAATATTTAGAAAGAAGCAAACAAAACAAAAAATTAAACTACCCTATAAATTCTTTTTAAGATCTATTCCATTATTTTATAGCAAGGATAAAATACAATACACTAGAAGAGATAAAATGCTTTTTAGTAAATATTTGGAAAGACTAAAATTACCAAAGTAAAAACCTACATCCTACAATATACAGAAAGATAATAATACCTACATCATATATTATTTACAAATACGAAGAATGTTTATTCATTTTTCGATGTCGCTGATCTTCTCCCAGTCGTCATCTGTGCTGCAGTTGCTGCTGTCACTTGCAGTTTCGTTTGCTTTTGACGTTTTCCTTTTAATTGGTCCTGGGGCTTGAATAATCACACCTATATTTAACAAAAAATAATACTTGTTAGTAAGCTTCCAGCAACGTTGACAAATCGAGAATTACTATTTTATGCTTCCCCTTAACTATCTGAGAAAGGTTGTCTGGTCCAAAGTGAACCATTAATTGAAAATATGTACGAAACAATTCCAAAAATCGAATTTGTAAGGGAACAGGTACCTACTCGTTTTAAAAAATGAAACCTAACACATGATTATTTTGTCCAGTCCAATTAAAAATTAGGAAAAAGAATAGTATCATATACATGGTGACAATTTGAAAGTAGCAATCCGGAATATCTCTTAGACAAAAAATACTATCAGGAAGATCTCAAATACCTACGTATCGGGGGATTGGAGGGGGAAGCAAAATGAGGCACTTTTTGAGTCACCCCGCCTCACCCCTTAGGAGGTATCTACCCTAACCTTTTTTTTCTAAATACGAACACAAGAAAATCCAGTGAAAAATTAGTAAGAACGCATTGTATGGAACTGATTTGAATAAAAAGAGGAAATAGTTGGGGATCTGAGCGTTCGTAGGAACCAGATTTAGAGAGCCCTATACAAGTCGAGGAAATCCACCTGGGGTCGTATTTTCGAATTTATTCCAGTACATTTCGTACACGAAATTTGACTGACAGCAATGTAAATTAAATGGGGAGCATTCGAAATCGTATCAAATTTCGTATGCGAGAATATTCGAAAATACGACCCTTGGAAAGTGTCTTATTTTATGTCAAATGGCATGCTGGATTTGAATTTTGAAATCGCACGTTGATCCGACATTGCGATATCGGTCAAAACCGTATTTTTGCTACAAAAAACTGATAATTCGATGAAAATCATTATCACTCACATAACACCCCATAACTTCTTTATTTTTCATTCGATTCAACTAATGTTTTGCAAAAATATTGTCCAAACCTACCTAGACATGTCTGTCATAGTTAAAATGCTATAGAACAAAAACAAGTATTAGAAAAAAAAAACAAAAACATGCTCTGACGCTAGTTTTCGCAAATGTGCAGGGCAAAAAAGGCGCAGCTTTGTGACTCAAAATTTTCCGAAAATTTCAACACTCTGTATTTTCTTAACGAGACGTTTGCGGACACAAGTACCTATGCAAAAATTGATTGTCGCACTGTACTCTATGTATCATAAGAAAATGCGCACTTATTTCGGACTCACCCGGTATATTTAATATTATCAACCAACATTTTTTTATGCTAAATATGATAAGTCTATAATATTGTAATTCGTAGTTTTTCTTTGAAATATATTGAATGATAAAGATAGGTACATAAAAGTACATATTCATCTAAACTACTCAACAATAGGTTCGTTCCAAGCATAAATATGACCAATTTTTAAGACGCGACAACTTTTTAATCTATTTTAATCTATATACTATGTAATTCTGCAAAGTAAAGTTACGTCATAATTTGGCCGAAATTTAAGGGTGGCGGAATTTTGTGCCGGCGAGTGTATTAACATTTTCGTTATGTCTTTTCAGAGATTTGCCGCCTACAGAAGATTTTTATTGCACATAAAAAGGGCATTTTTGCATACCAAGACAAACCGCAAATTCCAAACTGCTTGGATTTTGGATGGTATATCAAGGAAAAGAGAACTATGCCTGATTTTTTGCAAGTGCAAGTTATTTAATTGTATACTATACAAGTTGCAAATGTATCCAGGCGAACGTAAAATTTAACATAAGTTGCCCATGTAAAGGAAAATATACCTATATAATAATTATTATTCCTTTACCTTCTCAAATAGATGAATATGTAGGTACATACTTTTAATATATTATTGAATAGTGGGGATATGGCCAATTTTTTTTCAAGAAAAACTCTTTTTTCTGTTTAAGCTTTCGCGATTGTTTAATCGCTTCTTCAGTTACAACTAAAATATAAATATATAAATATAATACAAAAATAAATTAGAAAAAATAAACTTACAAATTGACTTATACATATAAATCTACATCTATACATCAATTTGTGTTCTTTTTTTTTCAAAAATGCTGACAGAATTTTTTAGATTGACTTTGAAATTCATAAAAACTGGTAAGAAAAAAGGTAACAATTAAAAAAGTAAAAATTAAAAAAGGTAGAAATGTATATTATGATGATATTTAAGAAAATATATAAATAAAGAAATGTATATTACGACTTATTTGATGTTAAGTATTTTTTTTGATGTTAAGTATTTTTTTGATCTTGGAAAAGTAAATTGGAAAAAATAACGTTAAGGTGTTGAATTTCGGTTTTCTTATTTATTGCATTTAGTTCCTCCTTGATAAAACATATTTCTAAAAATCACCTTTTCGATAAATTTTTTTCACTAGTCAAAACAGAAGCATTGTTGAAGTCCATTAAATGTCCAGTTTGATCGACATGTTGAGAAACAGCACAAGAATCGGGTCTCAAACGGATATCACTTTTATGCGAAATTATTCGTGATTTCAGATTTCTCTTTGTTTGACCAATATAATTTTTTTCGGAATTCAAACAATTTATTCTATAAACAACATTAGATTTGTTGTTGTTTTGTCTTTTAATTTTGTGAAAATATTATTTACAGTTTTAACAGTTTTATTGGCAATAATTATATTATGATTTTTTATAGTATTGGAAATTTTTGGAGTTAACTCTTCAATATAAGGAAAAGCTCTACATTTTTTAAAAATTAAATTATCATTATTATTATTATTAATTTGTAAGTTATTTGAATTTCTTGAAAACATTAGTTTATTTAGTAACTTTTCAGGATATGAAGTTTCAAGAAATATTTCTTTCAGAATTTCTAAATTTTTTTCTTTTAATTTTTGTTATCCTATTTTTCATTCCAAGAACTAAGTTTATTTTTGTTGTTTCAGAATGATAAGAATAGTAATTCATATATCTTCTTGAAGAAATTGGTTTAACATACCAATCTAGCAAAATTTTATTATCTATGTTTCTTATTAATTTGGTGTCTAAAAATGGAACGCTGTTATTTATTTCATTTTCTAATGTAAATTGAATATCAAAATTATAATTATTGAAAACATTAATAATTTCTTGTTGTTTGTTTGAAGGAAGGAATCGAACAAATTATGTCATCTACATATTTAAATAAAAATGGTAATTCGAAAGACAATTTTGGAATGCAATTTTCAACAAGATCATCCATAACATATTGAGCAATTATTGGAGATATTTGTTGGTATATTTTATTATTGAATGAAAAATAGGTATTATCAAAAATATGTCTAAGAATCATTAGAAAGTTTTGTTTATTTATTTTGCAATAATCTCTAATATTATGCCAATGTTTTTCTATACTGATAAGAGCAAGTTCTAAAGGGATATTAGTAAAAGGTGACAAAACATCTAAGCTGATGATAATATAGTTATCAGGGAGTTGAAAACTATTAATTTTTTCTGAAAAAATAAAAGAGTCTTTTATATAATAAGGGTTATTTGAATTGTAAGCCATTTGTAAGAATATCAGTTATATATTTAGTAAGTTTACTTACTTGTTGGTGTATCAATTGACGATATTATTGGTCTCAATTTAAGTTCTGGCTTGTGAATTTTAGGTAACCCGCAAAATTTTAGACAAATTGAATTATAGGTAGTCAAAGTTTTTGCAAAATTATCTCTTTACTATTCTTCAATTGCTGAATAATTTTATTAAAAAAAATTGGCCGTATCCCCACTATTCAATAAAATATTATCCTAAATCGAGCCATAAAAAAATTCCATACTTTTATGTATATTGTGTACCTATATCCTTATTCAATATATTTAAAAAACCAGATGTCAAATTTTTGACATGACGCTTCCTAGATAAATAACTACCTAATTAATGATTGTCATTGTCATTAATTGTCATTTCAAACCATGAATTCATTTTAATAAATCTAGACATTTTTTCAGGTTTTGATATCATTTTTCGGGGATAATACCACATAATACCACGAGAGCTTCAAAATTACGGATAATTTTTCACGATTCAAAAATGTCCTATTGAGATTTTTTTTTTTTTCTTTTTTAAATTTTTTTTTTTAATTTTTTTTTCTTAATATTTTTTTTTTTTTTTTTTTTTATAAAGCAAAATGAGCTCTTACCAATCAATGAAAAAAAAGATGGCGTTCCCATTTAAAAAAAAGATCAATGACGTTATATCTTGGAGAGGAATTATTTTTTCTCCTATATCTCTGCGTAACTTTTCCCTACACGTCTTCTTATACCTATTTCCAAAATTTCATCAAATTTCATCGAGCCGTTTTCTCAGAAAAATGCTAGCACACACACATACATACATACATACATACATACATACATACGTACATACACACATACATACATACACACAGACGGAAATGTGCCACCTTGCCAAAAAGGCTTAAAATGATCCAAAACGTCAAGATTTAATGAAATTTTGACATGGTCAAAATCGGGCTATCACCATCTAGGAAGCTAAAAAAGAAGAACTACGGATTACAATATTATAGACTTATCATATTTACCATAAAAAAAATGTTGATTGATACTAATATACATAATATGGGTCTTTAAAACTAAATTATGGTGCTTAGTCCATCATGTTCATCTCGAGTCGAGCGCGTCGCGTTGTTTGAATCCGTAGCGCTGGAAGACCTTGAAATTTGTCGAAAACTATTGAGCCTAGGAAAAAATATTTATAATAAAAAAACTTCCTTGAAGCCTTGGCTACTCTGGCTACTCTGCGCCTTTTTTGCCCTGCAAATTCGCGAAAACTAGCGTCAGAGCATGCTTTTTGAGTTTTTTTCTAATATTTGTTTTGGGTCTATAGCATTTTAATTATTTTAATATTATGACAGACATGTCGAGGAAGGTTTGGACAATATTTGTGCAAAAAATTAGTTGAATCGAATGAAAAATAAAGAAGTTATGGGGTGTTATGTGAGTAATATTGATTTTCATCAAATTATCTGTTTTTTGTAGAAAAATAAGGTTTTGAGCAATTT